TCCTTTTGTCTATTTTATTCTTTGCTTTTGTGAATGTTTTGCCTTTAGGTCTTTAAGTCTACAATTCCCTCTCTTCCCCACACATTCCCTTGCCCATATCCTCCTTCCTGCTATAATTTTTAATTAAATCAATATTTATATTATGATTACATAAATATTATTCATAACTAAATAGGACTAATGTTCAAAATAGTTCTTTGGTACCCTGACACCAACCAATCAGAAGAGAGGCCAAAAGGTCGGTAGGGTCCTGAGAGACTCCTACTTTGCCAATTATTAATCTTTTAATAGCAAGATGAAGGGTGAAGGTAGTGCCTAGGGGTGTCCAAGGGAGATAACAGGATAATAAGGAAGTACTGGTTATTTATCAATTATTATATAAATACTCTTAATATTTTAACAACCAATATAGGTAGCCTAGCTAAATATAAAGCCCTGCAGCTATTCTTACATTTTCTTTTTTTTATAACTTTATTCTCCTAAAGTTAAAAATAGTTATTCTCCTTACAAATTCAACCCACACTCTCCAACACTCTTTAGCTCCTCTAACCTGCTTTGCCTCTTCTCTTGGACACATCCCACCTGATGTTTACAGTCCATGCTCTGCTAGAGTCTGGCTTCTTTCTGAGCCTGCTACTCAATTATCAGTTTTAGAATTCCTGTCACCTCCTCCATCCTACAATGTATCTCCAGTTTCCTAGAACCTAAGTATTCTTCTTTCTTGGATTATTCTCTTGCTTTGGTGGAACACATTGTCCATTAACTTACCGAGGGTACATGCATGGAAGTTAAATTTTTTGAGATCCTGCAAGGCTGATAAATGACTACTTTATCCCCACCTTTCATTCTGGTTTGGCTAAGTATAGAAGTCTAGGTTGATAATGTTCCTTTTTGAGGGAATTATGGTCTTCCTGATTCTATGAACAGTATCTTATTCCCAAGCCTTTGTATATAACCTTTTGTCTTTAACTCTGAAAACTTTCTGAATCTTCTCTTCTTCCCTAGTTTTCTGATATTCTACTAGAATAGGACCTGTTGTGAATCAGTTTTTATCCATGTCCCAAGTCCTGATAAAGTCACTTCGTTCTTGGAAATTCATATCGTTCAGTTATGGAATATTTCTTCTTATGTTGTTTCTTTCAAAGTTTCTTCCCTACTTTCCTCTCTGTTTTGTTTTCCTGTGACATCTGTTATTTGTACATTAGACCATTCTTGCCTTTTTTCTTCTATTTTTGCATTTCTTTGTAGGTTCTTTTTTTTTTTTTTGCAGTTTTTGGCTGGGGCTGGGTTTGAACCT